AATGAATTAAACTGATTATTTCAGGTCAGCCCAGGAAAAATTTCAAATATGCCTAGCAGAGAGTGACTGGAGCTTAAGTTCCTACTCGTCTAAGTCTCTTGAAAAATGAAACAGTCTCCTAAATTCCTTAGGCTGCCCTTCAAACTTTTAAAAGTAGGAGATCTCGTCCCCTCCTCCTCATTTTTATTCACAGACTGGAAGAGAGAGACACGTTTTCCTCTTTTTCAACTCCCAATCGATCTCTCACCTTTGAATGAATTAGTCCAAATGAAGTAAATATTCCTTCTGTGCCCGCAGAACAGGCTACTGCTGTCCAAAGCTGGTTTAGCTCTTCAACGGCCTCTGGTTCCGGGTGCTTAGCTCGTGACCTCCCCCAGGTTCAGTGGCGTCGCTTGCTTGAAAACATGCGCTGCTCGAATGGTCCCCTCCCGCCCTGAAAGTTGTTATGGTTGGCACAAGCGGCTGGTGATTATTAGATGCCCAGGTCATAGCAGCATCTTCTTCAGCAGCTCGGCATCTACCCTGGTACTTTGCTTGGTCCGGCCGCCTCTTTCCTGCCTCCAATTTAACTGTGCTGTTGGGTACTTCTTTTGTCAAGGTCCCTTGAAGTTCTTTCCAAATTTCAGTAGCATCAGCAACCCAGCAGCAATCTTCCCGCCGTTTGTCCAAGGCTCTGGAAGCAGGTTTCGGCGTATTCAGCGTATCTTCTCCATTGCTCTGCAGTCCAGTGCTGAGTACTTTGGCTGTGGTAGTTCCCTCTGTTTGGTCACAATTTTCTTCACAAACGGTCATCCGAATAGGCCAGCTCTGAACACACAGCTCAGAACAGTCAACCACTGAATTCCACTGTATGTCCTGGGGGAGAATTAATCTGGCTCCGCCTCCTCCCTTCAGTGGTTGTCATGTAAGTATTTTGCAATGTCAGCACAAGATGCTAGCTAAAAGCTGCATCAAATGAGCACTGCACCCATGTGTTACAAGTTTCAGGTTCCCTTTGTTACCTTCTTCTAGATTTCTTCTCATCTTTGCTACATTTGCAGCATTGCCTGTGACAAAGCTACACAACCGACACTTGAATTTTTGTTCAGTTTCTGACGGCTTTCACGGCTACTTCTTTTAAGTACTCTGCGGTATGGGCATTTCCTGATGTAGCAATTATTTCTGTAAGACAGACACCCCGCTTTCGGTTGTCACACCAGCACATATTGTTGGATCATTGTGTACATTTCTCCACCCATCAAGACTCAGGCCAGGTCTACACTACAAACTTACATCAGTATCACTACATCGCTCACCACACCCCGGAGCGAAGTAGTAATACCGACCTATCCCCTGGTGTAGACAGCACAATGTTAACAGGAGAGCTTCTTCCATTGATATAGCTACAGTCTCTTGGGGAGGTGGATTAATTACGCCGACCGGAGAAGCTCTCCTGTCAGCGTTATAGTGTCTTCACTGAAGTGCTTCAGCACACCGGTCCAGCTGCCACGCTGCAGTGTATTAAGTGTAGACCTGCCTTCAGATTAACGAAGTTCCCGTCAATGTTTTTTGCACACTGTTCAGTTTCCTTTTCATACCCTGTATCCAGCAACCTTCCAGCAATGTCTGCTCTGCCCGGTGGAGTGTAGCCTGGTCATAATGATTGAACCATGCCAATGAAAAGTTGGTTCTGAACAAGAGGAAAAGGAGAATTTATTGCATAAATGAACCCAGCCATCTTTTCATCTAAGGAGTCTGCCTGGAATTTGATGGTCCTGGTTACGAACTCAGCCATGGTTTTACTGGATGATGAAGAAAGTATTTTTTTCAATACAGGTAATTTACTGTTTGACACCTGTTTATTTGCAGCAGATGATGGACGTTCACAACCTTTTATGTCTAAGCTGGGCTCTGAAACAAAATCATAAAAACAAGTCACTCTCACTCACTGCGCATTACTCAGTGCGCTGCTTTAAAAAAAATGGGATTGTAAATGGAAGATTCCTCCTACCGCAGCTGTTTGTAGCACTGTTTAAATGGTTTAATTTATTCTAAACCTAGTTAATAAATCATAAGGATTTTCAAAATCTATTTAAACCCTTATCTGTAGCAACATACCAAACATCTCGGGGGGAAAAATATTTTCAAAAAGTTTAAATTCATAAATGCCTAATAAAACTTTACTTTTAAACAGGTTATCTTCACCTAGGATGTTTGATTATATTGAGCAATAAAAAATCATGTCAGAAGTCCAGCAGTAATAGTACAAATGTACTTGATAAATACTCCCACAACAAACTAACTTACCAATTCTATTCTGAACACCAACATTTTGAAATTCAGAAGCAATCAAAACACTAACTTCTGACCGTAATCTAAGTTATTATCATAGCATATGTTAGGATATAGATGTGAAGGAATAAGCTCTCTAGCAGCATAGTAAGGACGTGGTAGGCAGTCCATAAGAGTGGTACAAAAATAAGTTTACTAACCAGTTGATCCAGGTTGTTCAGATATGTCCCATCATCATCTTCGAAGTCACTGCCATCTGAGGAGCATTTTCCATAATGGTGTTTCATTCCAACAGCCAGGCCTTGTCACACCATTTACATTTTACATTACACCTGTTCCTTTTTCACCCAGAAGTACAGGAATTTCTTGAAAATATTCCCAGAATGGGTCTCTTTATGACCTGCAGCCATGGCAGGTTTTTTCTCCAGTTCCCAGGTGTTGCAATCAATCCCAGAGGCTGTGCCCTGAAGAATATTGTCCCTTCTTCCCACAGCTTTCACACCAGAGTTGCTCCTTTCCAGTTGCACGCGCCGCTCCTTCTCCCTTGTTACGTAACTCCCCCGCCCTCCCAGGAAAATAAGAGAACTAACAACAATCCAAGACTTTTGTTCATGTAGCCCATACGCCTTTTGTGCTGCAGTTTTGTATGTGTTTAGAGACAGAGAGGGAGGCAGTTCAGAAATCAATGATTTCAGATTGCGTCTCTCTTCGTGTACACATGCAAGGAGACCAGGTAAGTGGCCTTGCTCTAAGTGCCCAGCACCATCTATCCTGGTTGTTTCTGGGCAGATCAGTGTTTTCCCATGGGCTGCAGAGGAAGTTTCCATGGTGGGTGCAGTCATAAATATTCATAATTGGAGAACTGAGCCAATCAAAGCTCAGGTAGGGAGAAGCTATAAAATAGGAGTATGAGACCACCCAGGTGGGCTCAGTGGAGGACGCCAATGAGAGACATGATGGTGTCTCCTGGGGTCAGAGGCCAGGTTTCAATGCCTGTGTGGACTTTGCCAGTCTTCTGTACCGAATAGCACGGACCCTGGGGCCCTCAATCCCTTCGTACAGTATATGACTTACTCTGATGTATTTATAAAGCTACATGTTCCCCACCCCCCACTCTCTCTTTCTGTAGAAAAGCAACCTTTCCCTCAAAGGTTTTGACAGAGGCTCATGGATTCAGCATACTTATTTTTATGTAAATGTTGTAAGAGATTATAATAAGTTTAGGCTTTGACATATTTTGTATTAAATTCAGATTTCATTTTAAACGGTTAGTTTTTAAAAAGAAAAAAATTTAATTTAAACACCAGCATCAAAAAATCCAATTTAAATAAAAGAAATTTGAAATGAAAAAAAAATCATGGATTTTTATCCACCCTGGACTGTACAATACAGGATGTGCTGTCCTGGCTGTATGGAGCAACCAGACACCAGACAGCTAATGTTAAACTAGGAAGGAATGTGGTCCCACCTCCACCATCTGCATGCAGTGCTTCACACCCTAGCTGAAATCCTCAGAATCCCCCATTGATTTCTCAAGATCAGGGGTCAGCAACCTTTGAGAAGTGGCCTGCCAAGTCTTCTGTAATTTAAAGTTTCACGGGCCAGTAATAAATTTTACATTTACAGGGGCCCCTGACAGAACCCCAGACTGGCAGTGGACTGAGTGGGGCTGGCGGCAGGGACCCCGGCTAGCAGAGGCCGGCGGACAGAACCCCAGATCAGCAGCGCGCTGAGCCACTCAGCCCGCTGCTGGTCTGGGGTGCCGTCTGCCACCCGCGCTGCCGGCCTGGGGTTCTGTCTGCCGGCTCCTGCCAGCCAGGGTCCCAGCTGCCGTCCCCACTCAGCCCGCTGCCGGGGCCGAGACCCCGGCTGGCAAGGGGCTGGCAGCGGGCTGAGCAGGGCCGCTGGTCTGGGGTTCTGTCCGCTGGCTCCTGCCAGCCCGGGGCCCCGGCCCCCGCCGCCCCCCCCCCCCCCC